CTCTCGTTTTGTAAATATAGGATATGGGCACGGCGAACAAAGCACTATAACTGATGATAAAGCTCTACATGCGATGATGAAAAAAATATGGTCAATATATATCCTTACAGTCATTGGATAATTAATCTTAGAATACTTACAAGATTTCGTAAATTTTTTCATATGTCAACCCTCCCTTATCCGCCTTTTTAAGCACCTCTATTTGATATTGCCGAAACTTCTGTGTCACATTGATGGAACCAACCTTCCACTAGAAAACAAAACCAAAAAGTGAGATATTCGTAATAAGGAAATCTAAATTTAAACGTACCATACCTCAACCGTAGGTTCTTTTTGTAGTTCCTTCGTAATGTTTGTTAAATCAAAATTTATTTTCTCGTCATCTTCAAGCTCTTCATTGTAATCATTGCTGGAAGTTTCGGATTCATTATGAATATTGTCATTCGTGACCGCGTCAACGTTATCTGTTGTCTGGAAAATGACGACAGCATCTGTATCTTCTAAATTTGTTTTCGCATCACTCTTCAAGTTTTCGTTTATATCTTTTGTTGGTTTTAATCTGTGGCATGAAAGGTGAGAATATATTTTTGTGAATCATGCCAATTAGCAATTTCGGTCTTGATTGATATGAATAATCAAAACATTGTATAGCTAAATGTGAAGACCATACCTCATCATCCTCGTCCTCTTTGTTGAAAATGTCTTGTTCATCAGATTTTCGTAGTTTCTTAAACAGATTGGATGATTGTTGTTCCGGAGAACCTTGAAAAAAAACGTTGATCTTGTCATTCCAATCCTACAGAAATACAAGGTCAGTTAATGAAAATAATATTGGAAGTAACACGAGCTTACATTATTCTCTCCTTCAGATGAACTGGAGGTTATTTCGTCCTAGAAAAATAATTATAGTTATTATTTATAAAAAGTAATAAAATTACGAAAATTACAAATAATAAAATACATGAGCAATTTCCAGAATTTCTTCTTCAACTTGAACTACATCAACGAATTTGGTCTCGCTCCCTTCTAAGCCAGGTGATATGCTATCAAGATCTTGTTTGTTATCAAGGGAAGCAGACATGAAGGAACTTCGTGTAGTTTTAATTGAACTTGATGATGAATCGCTGATGAATGAATCATTCATATCGTCATCCACGTTTTCTTCTTTTCTGCTGATGGTTTTGGCCTGTTTACGTAACAAGTAGAAAGCTAATTCACTCCTCATCATAGGATTGCATTCTATATATACCTCAGCTGAGCCAACAGATTTTTTTATCCTGTAGATATAATAAACAGTCATTAAAAAATGCTACATAATCCAAGGCAACACACAGCTTTACCATTAAGGGTAGCTGTTTTTTTTTTCGCTTTTGTCGAACGGGTTGAAAATCATCATCGATACACGAAGGAGTTAAAACTACCTTTATTAGACAGTCAACATTTTGTAGATTCTCACAACTTATAGAAAGAAGCGCTTTTATACCTCTTCATGTTTTCTTTTAGAATTATCAACTGTTCCTGAATTAATCAGAGAATTTATAGTACTCCTGGTAATTGTCGGGTTGTATAGATTAACCGAGGGTTTACTAGCTGATTCACTTTTATTAGATTTCACCCAATTTCTGGAATCTTTACGGTCAGTCCGACTAATCTAGAATAATTACTTAGAAGACTTAATAATATTCTTTAATGGTGACTTAAAAATTTTCCGTCTAATTTTCATCCCACCAAGTCGACTTGCAGGCTTAACATCAAATGAGCTCGCAGATCACCTGATGCCTCGGTGGTGCAAGTGTTAGGGGTTTGAACATCAGACAAGCTCACAGGTTATCTGTGCCCTAACACTTGCTTTGTAACTCGACTCGCAGTCTTGAATGATAGAGAGCTCACAGATCCCTACCACGCCACTTATATCTTTGCATTTCTAAAAAAAAAAAGGGCTCTTATACTCGCCCTATACTTATCCAGCAATAGTTGTGCCATATCATATCTTGGGTCTTTCTCTGTTTCGTGGTTATTAACTATGGTCTCGAGAGATAGAATATAAACTTCTATTTTTCGCCGAAATATTTTCTCCTCGCATTCCTCTAAAAACTCCTGAATATTCCATTCCGTAGGTTTTCGATCGAAATATGTTCAACGTGTGATTTTCGTGATTTCGTAAATAAGAATTTTTAACCAATCATATTGCAAGAATTATAAAGTCACGAGACAGCTGGTAATGATCACGAAATTTTTTTTTGAGAACGTACAGTATATACACATAAAATATACACACGCACATTTAAGAAATTCAAAACAAATCATTATATTTTTTCGCGAAGTAAGGGCCGGCCAGCTAAGAAAAAATGAAAGTAAAAGTAACAGAGTAGCAGGATGTTTCAAGGGAAGAAAGGCATAAAAGAACATTCCTGCTGTTTAAGCCTGCCGAGCCCTAACCCAAATATTGGCTGTTCCTTTCCCACTACTCAAAGGTGTAAATGGGTGTTATCTATCGAAGCACTTATCTTTTCTAAGTTTTCGCTTTTTATATTTTCCCCACGATAAAAACTCTTTATTGTATCCTTTCCAATTAGCTCATACCCTAAGAATATTAGTCGATACAATAGCACACATCTGATCTAATGAGTAATCTTTCACGCCCTTAATTCCATTAATGATGGTCGAAAATTGTTCCCGGATTACAGAAATGATATTCGCAAATCTTTGACTTAAGTCTGCAATAAATAATAGCGAAGCAAGCACAGACACGAAGTGTCAATAGGTGGTAACAAATGTTACTCAAGGTGACAAAAATATTATTTAAAAAATTTTTGGTGACCTTTTTTATTTAAAATGATTTAGGTTATTTTTTTTATTTGAAATTTAAAATACTTATAATAAGTTATCTTTTTTTTTTTTTTTTTTTAATACCCGTGGTCAGGCCAGTATTATGTGTTTATTAATCATTGAGAAAACCAATTGAGATATATAGGGCAATTGCATCATGGCTAAATTAAAATCTCATACTGACATACTCGTCAATAGCTTTCAATTC